TACCTCAGATTATTTTTGCTGAAATTGTTGAAACCGTAAATCTTGTTCCTAACAAGAAACACTGTTCATCTCTAGTTTACGGTTGCTTTTTGAGTAATCGTTTTCCAAAGCTGGGCTTAGAGTCGGTCTAGATGCCGTTTTTCCTCTTAAGAAACAAATAAATCTTCTTTCCTTAACGAGAGCGGGATGGGTAAAGGACAAAGAAATCGGTGAATGGGTTCGTTCTTCTACTCCGGGAGCTAGCTCTTCACAAGCTCCACCCGAAGCTGACGAAGATCCCAAGTTTGACCAATTAATGAGGGATATTGATGAAGCTGAAGAAGAACCTGAACTACCCGAAGAGCAGCCCGAGGAGCAAGCACAACAAACGCATCAAATGCCTCCATATTTTCAATCCTTTATGGAGACATTCGATTTCCGATACGCTACCATGGACTCGCGTTTTTCCTTTATAGAGTCTCATTTATCCACAATGGGAGCTCAACAATTAGAGATTCTTCGGGAGATGCGTGCAAACAATGAATCAACCAACGCTCGTATAAATGAACTCACACACGAGATGGCCGCTATGCGAGCCCGTTTTCCTCCTACCGATCCGGATGCTTGATTTTATGTTTAGCTTTAAAACTTTGAACAAAATGAATATTGTTTCAACATTTTGAATTGTTTGATTTTGTGGATTGTTGGATTTTGGATTTATGAATGGTGTGAACTTATATGTTTGGTGTGTTTAATTCATTTCTGCATTATTTACATTATCATTAGCAATATGACCAATTTTGCCATATCACATTATTTATGAATATTGATTTATGAAACTAATGGCTAACCTCTCTTTTGATTGTGATCTTAGCAGCTTAAGCTTATAATTAATAAATCAATTGGCTAAATGATTTTCAAAACCTTGTTTTACAATGTCTTTTTGATTTAACAAAAAGGGGGAGAAGAATAAGTGTTTAATGTTTTACATGATAAATTTGAAGAAGTGTTAAAGTAAGGGGGAGTAATTTCAAAACTTGATTTCAAAAATCTTAAAATTACTAAAATGTTTTTGTTATATCAAAAAGGGGGAGATTGTTGAAACATTTTAATATTTCGATATAACAAATTAAGTTAAATGGATTTTAAGATTTTCAAATTAAGTTAAAGTAATTTTAAGATTTTCCAAACGATTTTCTAAGTATATTCGATATAACTATTCGAATATCAAAACATTACTCCAAATATTTCAAAAATCATTTTTGATCCTTACTTAAGTGTAAAATTAAGTTTTAATCATAAAACAATTTCAAAATAATCTTACAAAGTATTTCGAACCAATTCAAAGCCAAAAATTCCAGATTGCTCAGAGGGAACCGATTCCCCCCATAGGAGGAACCGATTCCCCCCTGAATGGTTTGGCTCCGAGATTTCCAGAATGCTCGGAGGGAACCGATTCCCCCCCAAGGGGGTACCGATTCCCCCCTGTTCAACGGTCGAAATATTTGAATTTTACACTTAGGGAACCGATTCCCTATGAGAGGGAACCGATTCCCCCCACACTCCAAGCTGTTTTATTAAATGTTTTCACACTAAAACGGCTATAATATCTTCTCTAATTATCCCCAACGTTCAGAAGTGATCCAAGGTGTATTTAAGCAAGCTTAGAAGCCATTGATCAACAACAAGAAACATCAAGCAACTAGAATCAAGAGAGAATCAAAGAGAAAGCATCAAACCTCAAGTTTGAGCATTTCAAGCCCATTTTCATTCAATATTCATTTTGCTTTCAAGAACACTTTTTGTGCTCAGTTGTATTCATCTTTGAGTGTTCTTTTCTTTGTTCTAGAATTGTGCAAACATCTTACCTTGTGAGGTTTTCTTGTAAGTTTGCAAATTTGTAATCTTCTCTTTGAGAAAAGAGTGTTCTCAAGAGTTGGGGTATACTCTTGAGGGAATTGTAAGGTTATCTCTTTGGCCTCAAAAGAAAGAACAAATTAGTGAATTTGTTGGAAAATCCTTAGTGTGGATAGCTAAGGTAGTGGACGTAGACTTTGTTTGAGAAAGTCGAACCACTGTAAATCGCTGTGCAATTACTTTCAATTTTCTGCAAAAGCTTCCACAAAATTTTTATTGCCAATTCACCCCCCTCTTGGCCAATTTCGTCATTCGATTAACTCAACAAACCTCAAATAAGCATCGACAAAGGATATATAATATCGATATCCATTTGAGACCACATGAGGTGGTCCCCATAGATCGACATAAACCAATTAAAACTGTTCAGTATATACTGTTTGAAAAGCAGAAAACGGTAGAGAGTGAGATTTCCCAACTTGGCAAGCAGTGCAAATTTTATTATTAACCAACGATAGATTAACATTACAATCTTTACAAACTTGTTATAACGTATTACAGGAAGGGTGACCTAATCGTCTATGCCATAAATCAAAATCAACTACGCCATGAACAACATTACATTGAGCTGACACATTATTATGAAACAAAGTAGAATTAAACTCATAAAGTCAATCTTTCTTTCGGCCTTCAAGTAACACCGCCTTCGTGTCCTCATCACGCATCACGCATCTACGAGCAAGAAATTCAAGAAACACCTTATTATCACGAGTAAGTTTGGAGACGGAAACCATGTTTTTGGATATACTAGGAACAAGGAGCAAGTCATTTAATCGTAAAGAGTGAGTAGAAGTAACCAAGATAGATTGACCGACCTTAGATATTGATAAACTACTACCATTACCCACAAGGAGCTTACTCGTGCCGATATACTTTTCACCCGGAACAATATTAGCCATATCCGAGGTTACATGATGAGAAGCCCCGGAATCTACAAACCATTTCCCGGATAGGCGAGAGCTCGCAGAACCTCCAATACTAGATTGTTGTCCACATTCAGCCATCATAGTAGAAATAATACCATCCCAAGATCCTTAGTGAACACAACCACACCTATGAGTAGACGCAACCATACACACGGTAGCAAATAGAGAATTGTTCGGTGCCATGGCCTTGTGAGTAGTAGAAATCCCACGAAAGCTTTGGTCAAACCTATACCAACATCGGTCCACTAAGTGGCCAACTTTTCCACACAATTGGCATTGAACTCGGGGTTTAACACGACCACAACCTCCCTAATACGAACCAGAGGAACCCAGATTATGCCCAGGTGCTTTGACCAACCCCGACCCTGAAGAATCATTCATCATCAATTTTGCCATATTAGCACTAATAGAGAAACTGTCAGCTTCCTCAAAACCACGTTGTTAAACCTCTGCATCAATTAGAACTGAAACTACTCCATCTAAAGTGAACGGCTCCCTGTTGGGAGTGATGACAACAACAACAAAAGGACGATATTCAGACTACAATCCATTCAAGATCGTCGCCACTTGTTCATACTCGGACACCGGACTTCCACAAGCCGCAAGAGCATCACACAGCTCTTTAACCTGAGAGATGAAGTTACGCACACTCATCTCCCTTTTTTATATAGCTTTCAACCGATAATGCAGGTTCATTATTGTTGTCGTATAACTGCTTGCAAAGAACTTGGTAACAGTGGACCAAACTTACACGGCGGTGTAATCACCAACCATGTGCGGTAGAATCGAGGGTGATATCGTGGATAACAGCCAAGAGGCAAGCGCACTGTCCTGAGCAACAAACACTTCATAATCTTCATTCTCAACAAATGTCCCATCTTCTAAAACCACCTTCTCCGACATAGGAGTAACCGTACCGATAAGAAACTTCTCGAGTCTATGGCTCCTCACAGCTAGAAGCATTTGTTGTTTCCATAACAAGAAGCTACGATCATCCAAGACTACACTAAGTCTTTTGTTAGTGAACGCCTTTTGAAGACCCGCCGATGAAGTTTCCTTATTAGCCATGGCACGAGGAAGAGACGACGAGAAAACCCAACAAAGAATTAGCTACTGGAATGAAACCCTCCAGACCTCAAGGCTACTGATACCATGTTGAATTTTGATCTTAATAAATGCCACATCTTCTTCATTTCCCAAATACCACATATATATGGTTTTACAATACCTGCTAGAATATTCTTATACTGACAGCAGTTACACCAGACTTGCCTTGCTGGCACATCCTTCCTAACAACCAAATAACAACATATTTTCTATTCATTGCTATTCACTAAATAATTAGCAAAATGTTATTTTTATTATAAAACATTATAATAGGTTATATATATAATACGTCATACAAAACAATGTTATATTAAAAGTATTTCAGTTATAAAAAATATTAAATAATAATTGAAAATCAATATTATAATAATTGAATAAAAATATTATATTATGAAACTATCTTTAATTATATAAAAAATCAATTACACGGAATCTGAATATTTAAGTCATCCCCGCCAACTGCAATTCCACTGAAACTAATGCGGGCGACAAGAAAACGTTAGCTTTAGCTAATCTTCACCTTTAACAATCTAGAAAGGATGGTAGTTAACTACCTTAATTATGATGCTTTGAACCTGATAGATTATATATCAACCACATTATATATCAATTTTTAAATAGAAAATGCAGTGCATTTGTCTTTCATTTGCGTGTAAAGTAAAATTGAGTCAGTGAAATAATACAGAAAGTAAATGGTTTAAAAGTTGACAAAATCCATCGTAAATTGTTTTTATTTTTCAACGGATGGGAGACCATTAACAACACCCTGCAACCCGATCGGTGTTTAAATTATCTTGTTTAGTTTTCAAAGGTTTGTTATTGGGAAGAAAAACCCATTTGCTGACACCATCAGCACAAATAATTTGTCCGGCCCGCCCGTTATGTAAGATGATGCTGGAAGGCAAAGGAATGCTACCAAATGGGCAACCTCTTCCGGCTCTCCAAGTCTCCCCAGCGGTGTTCGAGAGATGACAGCTTCCATGAACTTGCTGCTACTCAGAACCTGCAAACAAACACTGCCATTCAATATCGACGGCATATATATATATATATATATATATATATATATATATATATATATATATATATATATATATATACACACACAACGGCAGATGCAAGTAGGGTTTAAAGTAGATAAATGCTCATTCTCAAATTCTAATTTATTTTGTTAATTATATTGTATCTACTTTAAGATTTTATCTGTGTTTATCCGTAAATAAAAATTTTAATATCTTAATATATATATATATATATTCAATTTCAAAAATATTTCTGTCACCGCATATATATGTATGCTGAATAAATCAAGACATTACTGGTTCGGTAAGTGGGGTTCTAATGAACCATGAAGCAACACAATTGGTCCTGATGTTGTCTTTTGCCCACTCACATGCCAGTTCAATTGTCAATTCGTTCATTGCCCCTCTTCAAACATATTCCTAGTTACAGATACAGGGTTTAACTTCAACTAATATAATATATATATATATATATATATATATATATCAATCTATAATACATGATCTATTTACCTTTAGTTGATCCATGGATAGATCCAGAATTGAGTGAGAATACACCAGCAACAGAAGAAACAAAAACAATGGTTCCAGATCCCGATGCTCTGAGAAGAGGATGAGCAAGTTGGCAGAAGTGGAATGCCGACTCGAAATTGGTACTCAACAGAGCCGACAGTTCTTCACTTGTATATTTCTCCGTTGGTTTTCAAACGTTGGTCCCAACATTATTTATCTGCAAATCTCCAGCTCATGAAAAACTTGTTTCTTGAAGGGGGAAAAAAACGAAATTTAGCTTACAAGGATGTTAAGCTTGGCATTAAACATGGAGGAAACATTGTTCATCAGAGTTTCCTTTTCAGCTGGAGAGGTTGCATTACAGACCGAACCAAAAACTTGTAAACCCTTCATCTTCCACTGTTGCAAGCATTGATTCAGCTGACCTTGGTTGCGGCAGCAGGTGTAAACTGTCGCCCCCAGCGCTCCCAGTTCTTCCACAATAGCCAACCTATAACGCCATTTACCATTGTTGCGGAAACACAAATATTTCTACTGATAAAACAGGCGACAAGGATCTCATCATATCTTTATATATATAGAGAGAGTGAGGGTTAAAAATTCCTTTAGTGCCACCGGTGACAAGAGCAGTTGTTCCTTTGAGAGACCATTGGCCTAAACATGTTGAATCCTTTACCATGAATCGTTGTCTGTCTGTCTGTCTCTGTCAACAGCTTGATGAGCACTACCGAGGATGAGTAGTTGAGTACTATGCTTTACATTTTAATTTTTGCAAAACCATTACGAGGCTCGTTGACTTAACTCTTGATATATCTAACACTACGAAGATTATATATAAGACCAATAAATTTTGGCAAAAATTTAAAAGTTTGTATACATTTCTGTTAACCATTCATGATAGATGATTTATTTAAAATCAAATTTAAAAAATAATGATTTAATTGACAACTTTTTTAATAGTTAAAATAAAATTGACACCATAGTGTAGTGATTATATAGATACATTAATTATACTTTAAATATATGTATTTATTTCCTTTTATGTGCATTGGAGTCAAACCTGCCAAAATAAAATCAAGGTGCATGATTAAATCTATTAACTAACAAATGATCTGTAAACTAATGGCTAAAATTGATAGACACCTTCAATGGTAGTTATCAAGGCCATAATACAAATAATAAATGATTGAAGTTCAATGGGAGGAGAAAACGACCAAAACAGTAGCATCTAAGCTCAGACTCTATCTGTTAGACAACTAAGCATAACTCTCTCAAAGATACTTGATGCCGAGTAAGTTGACTGACAAAATACATATAAAACAGGGGAAACGAGCATCTAAGCTATTATGTTGGCGAATGAAGTCAATGCCGATCATTACGATAATCAGTAGCATCATTGTGAAAATATAATCAGGATATTACTTGTTCCACCTGTGCAACAGTACAGTATTACCCCTTTTGTCCACTTACAACCCAAGTTCTTTGTGAAATTAAAATTTTTCAGAAGATCAACAATAAAAAAAATATATAGAAAACATCTAAATTATATAAGAATTTGAAATTTATTGTTCCATTGATGCTTTCAGTCATCATCGATATTTATGGTTTCTTGCTGAAAGAGTCCACCAAAAGCCTTCCTCATGTAACACCCCCAACTCGTATCCGACCCGGATCCGAGTCCGAGGTGTCGCATTGACTTTTCAAACGTTTTTCTTTACAAATTAACTCAAATTTAACTTCACATTTCAAGAAAATGAATATTTTACATTAATTAAAATCAATTGGTTTTACAAAACATATCAGAGCATATATAATTCAAAACATTAATTACATGCCAACCACTTTCAATAAAACAACATGCATATGTTTCAAAACTCTTCCTGATATGATCTTCGGAAAGAAGAGGCTAACCTGTCTTGCTCCTCTGTGCTCCTTAATCTTCTTGAAACCTATGTGTGAAACATTCACACGCTAAGTCTATGACTTAATGAGGCAAAATAAAACTTATAACGAAACTCTAACTAATTAACAATGCATGAAAATTTCATATCAATGATATCACACAAAATAATATCACATCAACATAGAGTCAATTGTATACATCTACATATCTTATCTTTATTATATTCATTCATATTTATGGGTCATATATTTTTGTACTTAAATGTAACACCCCCAACTCATATCCGACCCGGATACGAGTCCGAGGTATCGCATTGACTTTTCAAACGTTTTTCTTTACAAATTAGCTTTAATTTAACTTCACATTTCAAGAAAATGAATATTTTACATTAATTAAAATCAATTGGTTTTACAAAACATATTAGATCATATATAATTCAAAACATTAATTACATAACATATTTTATATTCTCATATTATCACATAATAGTATTTTTTACATAAATTATATAGCTCATACAAGAACATACCAACACCTATAATCATGCATACATACAAATCATGTCATTTACATATCTATATTCAGGACTTCATGCACTATAATTATATGAAATAGACTTACCGCAAGTCCAATTTTCATATAATCCTATATCAAAATAATATCAAAATAAGATGTACTTACCTGGCCTCACTAGTCAATATCGATCTCTTATCTCTTTCTCGATAACTACTAATTGGTCAACTCGTCCGAACTTTGCTCTCGATCGATCTCTACACGAATACACAATCCAATAATTGTCGGGATTCAAATTACTCTAAAATATTCTTACGAATATAAACTAACCAAATCATTACTTCTTAATCCCAACTTAAGTAGTATCAGTACTACTGTTACAGTACCGATACCCTCATGCTTGTAGTATTGATACCCATTTTCGATTATGTAATTTTCATATCAAGAATGGTGTGGATACCTCCACCTTATTATCAATACCTCATCAACCAGTACCAATACCACCCCTTTATGTATCGATACTTCTTAAAAGATTTCATCCAACAGTATTGATACCCCAAGCTCAATTTCTAATCATCTTTTCTTTAAAGTATCGGTACTGGATGAACAATACCGATACCCCATGCCCAAAGTACACTTCTTTAACCCGAAAATTCATCAAGACTTATCTAACTCCTTACTTTAAACTCCTCTAATTACTTTAAACTCAAATATACTTCCTCAAACCATCTTATATCACTTTAAAACATCTAAACATTCAATATCTTATTAGAATTCTTGAAACTAAAAATCTTGCCAATTATTCAACTTTGTAATTCATCTCATTTAACCTATTTAATCTCTTACTATAACTGATGACAAGTCAAATATGACCTCTGAATTCATTAACAAGCTTTATTTCAACAACTCACTTAAAAACCATTTTTCTTCAATCACCCATAATTTGAAATTCTTTTAGCGTTAAATCACCCTAAGTTTCCCTTAAGCTTTCCTAACATCTCAAGAATAAAACCAACTCAAAAATTACAAGAATTAATCAACTGAAAGCATTCTCAACTTTGAAAATGAACTCACGTTGGAGAGGAGGAAGAAGAAGCTCTTATTCTCCATACTTTTTCTTTTCATTTCTCATTTCCACGTGTTATATCCCTTAAAAAAAGAAAATAAAAAAAATCTTCTCTTAGAAAAGACCATAATATTCTTATTACTTTCTAATTTTACTATTAAATCCAACATCAAAATTTTCCAGTTAAGTCCCTGAACTTTTCAATTTTTTGAAATTGAACACAAAGTTTTCAAAATTTCTATTTTAGTCACTAGCCCTGATTTTGGGATGTTACACCTCACTTCTGTCTTCTGATCTGCCTCTTTTTGCTTGGGGAAAAACGATAATGGAGCTTACTTGACAACAGCTTTGTTGGACGACAACGTTTCAGCCTTTGCTCGTCCCCTGACAGTGGCAACCTGCCCTTCATCAGAAGGCTTTTGAACAGCAGTTGATATCTGGGAACTGAAAATTTCCCAAGAAAACCCAGCGCTAATGTATTTTGCTTTACTCAAGATGCCTTCCATGGATATCCCTGCACCCTATGCTTTCTCCTCAACTTCTTCAGCTCTACTAGCAGCCCTGCTTTGTTTCTCCAAAAGCTTTTTCGCTTCTTCTTTCAGCCTCTTTTCCGCATCGGCCTCATCGCGAGCTTTCTCAACAAATTCTTTTGCCTCTTCTTCAGCGTTAGCCTTTGCATAGGCCTTCCTTCTTCCATCCTCAGGAATAGCACTTAAAAACAAGACGATAAATAATGCAAATCAGGACATGTTTCTTTCCCATGCAAGCTCATATACTCCCTAGCTATATATTTACCTGAAAAGCTCATATACTCCCTTCAATGGCGCTGATGGGCTCGCGAAAACAACAACAACCTATCTCATTTAGCAAACCACCAAGATATATATGTGTAGAGTACAAATGTTTACGTATAAATCACAATTAAATTTACATCTCATATACCTTGTTTTCTGCCACGGATGTGTTGGAGAAAACATCCACCACCAGGGATGCTATCTGAGATTTCGCGACCTGACCATAATTTTTAGTAGATATTGAGCAGTAAGACAATACAAAAACTGTGACCAAAGAAAGATAGTTTTGCAATGAAACATATGAAACTGTATACATTACATTATATCACATACTTTGTAGTCATTTGCACCAATGCTTCCTTCAGCCAACACAACAACATTGTAAGAACTCTCTGCTGTGTAATCTTCTGTCAGGGTTATCTTTAAGAACGTGTAGCTAACGTCGGTTTCGATTACTTTTTGCAATAACTCGAGCAGATTCGGAGGTTGAGATTGAGAGAATAGGTTGTTGAAGAACGATGTGAGGCTGTCAAGCACATTATAAGTCGAAGCAGCGGCTCGGTTACCATCGTAAACTATTGCCACATGGCCAACGCCGGCTAGTTGAGCAGCTTGGATCACTTGTAAGGCATCTGATCTGCATCTTGGAAGCTGGATTCTACACCATTGAGCCGCTTTGATTCTTGGTTGGATATGATCTGTAGTGACAAAAGATTAAGTGTACAGAGAATTAAAGTTCAAGTCTTTGCATGTTTACTGTTGCGAACCTTGTATTCGACTGCAAGACGAGCCAGTTCTTGAGAATCACCAAGCTGCGACACCCCAGCCCGGACAGTGAAACCCTGGCGCAACAACGTTTGTGAAATCCGAATACCAGCCTGTCCGGTTGCTCCCGCAACGAATACGGTGACGGGATCTTTTCTTCTCAGGTTCCCAAATGATAAACCCGTGGAAGGTTTGCTCACAATTGGAACCAAAGTTTTCACATCAGGGACCTTCCCGAAATTGAAACGAAAAGGACTAGAATCGCCTGAATCTTCAGCTTCGTCTTGTTGATCAGGATTGTCTTTATCTTTTGCAAGCTGAAATGGAGACCTTTTGGCGAACACTGTGAACCTGGGGTTGTTAAGTGTTAGCCTTGGCCGAGGCGTGGTGGTTAAGAGAAATGAAATATATAAATTTTATCTGATGAAATAAATTCGACACCAATTGTTGAGTCGCACTTGAGATATTATAGGTTGAAAACAACCACTCGAAGTTGACACGTGCATCACCAGTTTTTTTCGATTTAAGCTTTCACTAAACAGATAAAGCACAAATTATCGAGAGAGGTGGGTAAGGATGGTTACTCTTCTAAATTTTTTTATTTTTTTTTATATATTTTTATATATTTTTTTGTTTTCTGTTGAAAATTTATTTTTATTTCTTTAAAAATTAAAAAATTACGTTTTCCACCTAAAATTTTATATGTTCTCCATCTCTAACATAAAACTTTAAGTTCGTTCATGAGATAAAACATAGGCCACTGCATTTACGACATTAAGAAAAGATAAAAAAATGGATGATAAAAAAAATAAGAAACCATTGATGTATGCCTGTTTGGGGAAAATTTAGAGATGATATAAAATTAATTAAGGAAAGGAAGATATTTTTATAATGACTGGCATTTATGATTTTGTTTTAATCTTTTACATTTTGATATCAAATTGTTAAAATAAAGGATTAAAATGTTTTTTTTAATAAATCAACATATAAATTTTATTTGGTCTGTGTATTTTTAAGTTTTTTAATTTAGTGTTGAAAATATAAAAAAATCATATCAAAGTTATTTCCATATGTAGTTAATTTTATCAAGAATTATATAATAAATAAGTACGTAAAGTATATCATCTTTTTATTTAAATATCTAACATATTTTTTTTTCAAAATACGTATATAAAGTTATATTTCGGTCAAAATAGGTAATTAAAGTATTTTTTGATTAAAATAAGTACTTAAATTATTTATTTTTTCAACTAAATACCTAAAATATTATTTAATTAATCTCACATATCAACTTTTAAGAACTTCAATGAAAAAGTTTAGATAACTACTTTTGAAATAAAATACTTTAATACTGATTTTGTCCAAAAAGATAATTTCAAATATTTATTTTGGTCAATAAATACTTAAATAACAAAATATTTACATTAAGTAATTATATATGATATAAACCTTGTATTAATTACTGTAAAAATATTTATATTTCTTTAATTAAATTTATGAAAGTAACAAAACCAAAAGTATATATGTAAAAGTTCTTTATTTGATCATAAGCGCCGGTACTGAGTTTGAGCGTCTTTATAGACAAAGCGCGTGCCCACAGAAACATTAAAAGAAAAAAAGAAATAAAAACAACACTGAGCGAGCTCTTGAGTTGCGCCACGTGTGCACACTCCTTATAAACGGATGCAAACCTATTTATATTGCACTCTTTTAATCTCCTTTTCTCATCCGTCCCTCTACCCAGTCCCCCTTTCTGTTAATCTCCGATTCACCAAAGTCCAAACCCTAGCTTCCCTTTCTCTAATTTCACCCCGTTGATCGATTTTTCAACCCCTCACTTCCCATGATTCTTTTCTCTTTCTCCTAAAAGATTTTACCAGAAATAAGAGAGAGAATCCAATAATTTATTTCTTTGTTAGAAAAAAGAAGAATCCGAGCTAGATAGACGATTCGGCAAAAAATGACGTCGTCAACGACGAGCTCGGTTTACATCAACGTCATCGAAGACGTCATGAACAAGGTTCGCGATGAGTTTATCAACAACGGTGGACCAGGCGAAAGTGTCCTCAATGAACTCCAAGGAGTAAAAAGCCTTCTACATTTGCGATTTATTTGATTTATTTATTTTTAAAATTCTAGGGTTAGATTCGTTGTTTTAGAAATTAGTAGGCTCGGGACTCGTTATGTGGATAGATTTGATCTGATTGAAAACGTTAGGGTTTGTTAATAATCTTTTCTGAAGGAAACTGATCTAGTTGAATTGATTGTGTTGGATATTGGGTTTTAGCTTTGGGAGATGAAGATGATGCAAGCGGGAGCAATCGTTGGTCCAATAGAGAGATCTTCAGGTCAGAAGCAACCTGCTCCCGGCGGCCCAATTACTCCGGTGCACGATCTCAATGTTCCTTACGAGGGGACTGAGGAGTACGAAACTCCTACAGCTGATATGCTTTTTCCTCCGGTAACGGGCTCTATCTTGACTGCTTTTATGAGTTTTAGTTGCGGTGATAATTTTATGTTGTGATTTTCTTATAAGGATTTTTTAATTACGTAGACTCCTTTACAAACACCTCTGCCTACACCACTGCCTACTCCACTGCCGGGAAGTGCAGATGGTTCTATGTATAACATACCTACTGGAGGTAGTGATTATCCCACACCTTTGAATGATAGAGGAACTAATGCTGATGTAAAAGGTGGAAGGCCAAGCACTTATATGGTATGAAATGCTCTTTAACCGCCACTTTCCTTTAGGAAACCTTGTGCTATGGTAATTTTCTACTTGCCACTAAAGAAAAAAGTAGCTGTTTGGCTTGTTTTAGATTTATAACTGATATTTTCTTTTTGTTTTTCTTTCCACAGCAATCTCCTTCTCCTTGGTCAAATCAAAGGACCTCACTAAGTGTTGATGTTAGTGTTGGTTAGTATGACGTTTACCAGCAATCAGTTTGAATGCACATGGGTTGTTAACAACAAATTCTATTTTCTTGTAGCTTACGTGGAAGGACGGGATGAGGCGGACAGAGGAACCTCAGATCAACCCCTGACACAGGTAACTCCTGTTTTGAGTAACTTTACAACTGCATAATGACATTTGAATAATCTGGAAACTACGTCCCTCAACAATCCTTGTTCCCATGTTGAAACGTATTGGTGATTAATTTTAATACTGGAGGAAATACCAGGACTTCTTTATGATGCCTCCTGGAAAGAGAAAACGTGAGGATTTTTCTACACGGTATAATAATGGTGGTGGATATATACCACAGCAAGATGGAGCTGGAGATTCTACATCTGAAATTGCAAAGACAGAGGTTAGTTCTGTAGTTTATTTACAAATCTATGTTCATTTTTCACTGTTATATCTGTATGTTATATCTGGTGAAAATAGTAATATTGAAACGAGAATTGTAAGATTAATCTGATTCATTTGTACTGCTCATTGTTCTTCTGTGCGGTGGCTTTACGATCTTTTGGTCTAATACTGGTTCTTTGGTATTTGACTAGTATCTTTTATCTAAACGGAGAATGACAGAGTGATAATTTGATAACCAATGCTTGACACAGATCAAGATCTTCCTGGAAGTTCTGTTTCTGGATGGTATTGGGGTTATGACTATTCTGTTTAGGTACATGTTTTCCATTATCACTTAACAGTCATTAAATGTTTTCTGAACAGTAAAGAACGTTCTCAAAGATTGAATGGATGAGTTCTTTAGTGTCTTTTGGTTGACCCAGAACGCTCTCAAACGTGGGTATGGGATGGGTCTCTGAGATATTGTAATAAGATGTAGTGGCATTTCTCCACTTGTAATGATTTCCTGACCTTTTAGTCTAAATTGTCTTATCCATTATTGCTAGATATGCTTCAGACAATTTATTACATTTTGTCTCCACATTCTGTTCTCGTTTGATTACCTTTATCTTATTAAAAATGGAAAAGCCAACTTAGTTCTGGCTCCGAGCTGTAAAATGAATATTTATAAGGTAATTTTATCATTCTAATTGAGGTCATTATGATAAGATGAGGTTGGTTTCCTTTGCTTATAATGATCCTGCTGCATGTTAGCCTAATTTATTTCCTTCATTATTGTTGGATCTGGTTGAGGCACACTGTCCTTTTTTCTATTCTTTTTTTTTTTGATCCCTCATTCTTTTATTTTTTTTCCTTACATTCTCTCTTCATAAAAAATGCAAAAGCAAATGTAGTTCAAGCTCTGAGCTATAATTTGGTAAATATTTATGATGAGAATTTGTTATTCCAGAAGGGTACTTTTATACCAAACCGTTGTTGGAATGTGTGAGTTTGGATTTGTTGTGCACCTTTCTTAATAATGTAGTTCTAAGCTTTCAGGGAAACAAGGCTTGTAATTTCTTGGGTAGACATGACTCAGCAACCAATGCAAAAAGCAAGATCTTAGCACACTTAGCTACATCATCATCAAAGATTCCGCAACTAGATGGACCAATTCCTGATCCGTTTGATGATATGCTTTCTACTCCCATTGTAAGTATCATATGCTTTCTTAGGTCAATTCCTAATCTTGTCGTGCATTCTGCAACTTAGTGTTACTTTTACGTGTATGGTTTGGAATGGACATTTTCTCTTCGTTTCTTATATATGTATATTAGTGGAGAATTCACTAACTTACAGCTCTCGCCTTTCTATTTTCTTCTCTTACCTTGAAGATTTACAATTATCAAGGAGTTGTCAATGAAGATTACAACGTAGCGAACACACCGGCTCCAAACGGTAAACTGAGAATGGATGGGCTGCTTGTGCTTCTTTTGGCTGTACCTCACCCTTCCAACCCCTTCTCTCTCTCATCTAGACACCTTGTGTATTGGATGACCAGCTTTCCTTGTTTCCTTGACAGACCTTCAGGCTGCCACTCCTGCTCCTGTTGCCCAAAATGATACAGTTGATGATGATGATGATGAACCTTTGAATGAAGATGACGATGACGATGATTTGGATGATGTAGACCAGGAGGAGCTGAATACACAGCATCTAGTTTTGGCTCAATTCGACAAGGTGCATTTTAGCTTTTGTTGCTGCATCCATCATCCCATCATCTTTGTATTTATACAAGTTATGGCAGTCTCATTTGTCTTCTATGCAGACGATGAATAAACAAAGATGTTATATATTTTTATTTTTAGGTGACTCGTACCAAGAGCAGATGGAAATGCACACTGAAGGATGGCATCATGCATATAAACAATAAGGACATCCTCTTTAACAAGGTGTGCTTCGTATATGTGACATGTTATTACACTTTGATGCTTTCTGGTTTTTGGTCACTGTTCCTAAATCCAACCTTTTTCTTTTTTCTCTTTTTGCAGGCAACAGGGGAATTTGACTTCTGATTTTGTTAGCGAAATTCCTTTCACCATTATATCGTAGCAGTTACTTTTAAAGAGCAAGTCAAAGGGTGTTTCGTAAATTTTTCTTTAATTAATATCAAAGTGAGAGGTTAATGGTGGAATGACATGTGGTTCTTTATATTTAATGCCTTCCTTTGGTTGGATGGTTGGCATATTGTACATACAACGTAGAGCCTTTTCAGCCTAAGAATGTTAGTATATGAGATGCATGATGCATCATCAAGTTCTAAAAATATTTCTGCAATGAAACCCCCAATTTCGCTTATCCTATAATGCTTCTTGCTTTTGGCTGATAAAAAATACAGATGATGCTTGTAGTGGTGGTAGGGCATGGAGATTACATTGATTGAAACAATCACAGATTGTTTATTTGTTTGGGGTGGTGGCATTTACCGAAAGCTGAAACACCATAGAAGTGCAGGGCATAATCTGCTTGCATGTTATTGCTAAGCAACAACATAGGAAAATGGAGATGGTTAAAACTCCAATCAAGTGAAAAATCAATAATGATCTCACTGTGATGGAAAACAAATCTGATGATAATATTTCTTACAAATAAAAAAAGGCAACAGCAAATCACTCATCACAGTATTTGACTATGAAGAAAGATCCCCATCCATCAAGACATTATCATTTAAGACAAAACTAGCAAAATCAAGCTTTAAAGTTTGGGAGAAAAACACAAATGTACATATATATGGTGTATAAATGCAAAACAAAAACATCACTGTGCATCATTGACAAGAACACATCTGTTTTGAAACAAAGCAAACAAGGCGGAAACCTCCACATGTGCCGCCCCAGCTGGTTCTTTCCAGGCAAATACCGTTGGGACTGGTATTGCAGCAGCTTTCCTGTGGCTATCATCGATTGGAAACATGAAATCATCGGTCTGTGGGAATAGATTGGGTGAAGCGAGCGGTGTCAGCAAGGGAATTGGAGTCGCAGCAGAAGCAGCGGCAGCGGCTTTAGCAGTCCCAAAATTAGCTTCAACCTGATCAAGCTGGAGTGATGCAGGCGCATGCATCTGTAGCCTGGTGGGCGGCTTCCCTTCTTTGCTCTTTTCCATTCCTATAACTTGTTTCTTACACTCCTCCATAGTTGATACTTTCCACAGAGTTTGAGAGAATGGCAACTTGGAGAGAAACAATGAAAAAGGAGAAGATATGGGATTGACTGAGTGAATCAATGGCCTTAACTTGGGAACCGGGAAACATGGGCTCGTTTTTATAGGGTAATCTCAGGAACATGCAGTTACGAACTGATGGGCAACGGTCACTTACTCATAATTATTTATTTATGGGTCGGATTATTTATTTTAGCGGCTAATATTTTTTTTTCCCATAAAAAAAGGATTGGTCCTGGTCAAATCTGACACTCGATCGTCGTCCCCATAGGAAAGGTGAAAAATACTAGTTTTCCCTTCTGACCGCAACAAACAAACAAGTAGCTTTCGTTCCTAAACTGAAACCACAGTTAAAATGAAAATCGGATACAGCTAATAGTAGAGTTAAACAACTTTTTTAATTTATGTATTGGTATTAAACAAAGATGAATTACATTAACAAATTTGCTGTGGAAATGTTAGCTAATTTAAATTCAAAAGTCGTTTCATTCCAAAGCCAAATTGTTTTATAGAAGATCCTTTGTCACTTTGGGAATAGAAAACTCGTTGTTCGTGTAATTTTTTTATAGGCCAAATCAGATAATTAGTGAGATTCAAATATGGATTCTCATTTAGTTACTAATGAATACTCAACCAAGTAAATCAATTTATGTTAATTATTTATTTAACTTTATCTTTTATAAGTCAAATGGGTCGTCGGTGAGATTTGAATCTTATTCTCGTGCTAATGAATTCTCAATTAACAGAATCAACTCATGTTGGTGATCATAAATTTTGTGCCTTAATTTTTGACAAACACAGAAAACATTACTTTAAGATGATTTATTGATGGGGTATTTATCATTAAGTTAAATGTACAAGAGGTTTCTAAATTGTGATATTTGTTTTAAATTGATCCTTAAACTTTAAAATATTATATATTAATCCTTAAATTATTATTCTCATTCTAAATTTGTCCATAAATTTTAAAACATTTTGTATCAATTCTCAAACTATTATTATCATTCTATTTTGATTACTTCATTAACTATATTAGTTTTTGAATGTCTTGAAAATTGAACATATGACCTATAAAAATTACTTTTTTTTAAAGTCTTGAGATTTTTATTAAAAGTTTCCATGCTCAACTCATGGGACCTTAAAAACGTATTAGTTTTTTTTATAACTAATAGAGTCAATGACATGTTAATGAAAGATTAACATGGAATGATACTGATACTTTAAGGATTAATATAAAATATTCTAAAATTTAAGGACTAATTTAAAATAAGATCATAATTTAAGAATTAATATAAAATGTTTTAAAATTTATAAACCATTATGAAATGGAGGTCATAGTTTGAGGGTATATTAGCTCATACCATTGCCAGTGCTCAAACCTAGTGTTATAGTATCAGAACGATTATTGGTAAAGAAATAAATACGATCGAAAAAGAAAAAACAAAGAAAATCAAGATTTACGTGGAAAACCCAATAGGAAAAAACCACATATAGAGGAGAAGATTTTCATTAATATGAAGGAAAAAAATATAAGAGGATTTTGGTGAAAGATAAAAAAACTTGATTTCTAACCTTTTACCCTTAGTATCTATTTATAGGGATAAATACTTGATTACAAAGGAGAACTAAATAAAGTAGAAATCTACTTTAATAAAGTTATCTACTTTTAATCAAACTAGGATTATTACTTTTCCAAATTTAAATATGAATTAATTTATAGCACTTTGAATTCGAGTCAAACTCTAACAAATCTCCACCTTGATGTGAATTCTGAAAGTGCGAAGGTTTCGAGACAATACATCCAAATTCAATGAGGCACCCAAACTCAACAAAAAAAAATCTTTACTTCAACGAACACGTTCTCCACCTCTTCCACAACACCCGTAAAGGGGTTATCTTCAATAATACACATCGACCGAATCTAAGCTTTTTCTAAGATTGGATTTAGCCTTCAGATCAACATGGTTATCATAAGTGCCAACTTTGCTCACAAATGTATTACCACGATCAATGTCATGCATAACACGATCCCAATAATCAATGATAATTCCTATCTTCAAATTTGTTACGCCCACGAAATTGAACTATTTTTTGCTTCACATAATTGTTCTGCCCACGGTTATCTTGTTTAACAAAAAATCTTCTTTTGCTAAATTTAGTCAAGACATTTTTATCAATAACAACGTTATTTGACAAGGGGGAGAAAACATCACCTGCATTATCTAAAACTATTGAACCTTGTTGAGCATAAAACTTAGAAGTCTTTCTATGCCTTTTCATCATAACAAGAGAGCCCTTGCAAATCTTCATAGCTCCACCTTCATTGAAGAATTTGCACCTTTTTGAAGATAGGGTACCTAAAGAAATTAGATTTATACTCAAATTTGGAACATGTCTCACATTACCAAGTGTTCGAGTAATCTCATTGAACATCTTAATCTTGATTGTGCCAATACCTGCAACTTTACAAGAGACATTGTTTCCCAAAAATACATCACTTGTAAATACATCTTTTACGTCGCAAACCAATCACAATTATGACTCATATGAAAACTGCTACCAGAGTAAAGTATCCACTCATCACTTGTTATAGAGTTGTCGTCAACCGTAACTAGGAGTTCTCTGTTATCGCACTCCTCTACTACACCGACCTCACCAGATTTTCTAGAGTTTTGCACTTTAGCTTCTCTCTTAATTTTATTCTGTAACTTATAACACTCTGATTTAGCATGACATTTCTTTTTACAAAAGTGACAAGTTTTTCCTCAGTTTTAAGATTTTGATCTGCCCTTCCTTCATTTATAGAATACTCGCCTTTTCTTTCATGGTTTGAGCTAGTTGATCCATGCACCATGAGACCCTCTACTTGGGGCTCGAAACCAGATACAAGATGCTTCATCTTGTCAAACGAGTGCAAGTCATTGTACACTTCTTCAAAAGTGAGTGTTTCACGAATGTACAAAATTGTGTCTCTGAAATATGAGTAGGAAGGAGGTAGTGAACACAAGAGGATCAATATGAAATCTTCTTGATCATACTTGACATTTTCCTTGAATGCGGTAAGATACTCTTCAAGAGACGAACCTTCTGCCAACTTGAGCGAATAAAGACGTTGCTTTAAGTGCAACTTACTGGTCAACGATTTTTGCATTTATAGTTGCTCTAATTTCGCCTACAAAAAAGCAACTGTTTTTTCTTTCAACACATACTGCAATATTTGATTTGATAAGTGTAAAGGGATTTGAGATAGAGCTTTATGATCCTTATGCTTTTCTTCGTTCATCCAATCTGACAATGTTTTTTTTATCAAACTCTTTCAAAGTATTACCTAAGTCCAATTGTGCAAGGACATCCCGAATCTTCATATGCCACAACGAGAACCTAATGTTTTGATCCAACAACAGAATATCATATTTTATTATTGCTATAATCTTAAACCCAAAGCTCTCATACCAATTTGTTATAATATCGGAACGATTATTGGCAAACAAAATTAGCTTTATCGATCAACCGAAATAGCCAAGAGGAGGGGTAAATTGGCCTTTAAAAACTTTATGGTGGAAGCTATCAAAAATTAAACTTTTGCACAAGGAATTTAGAGTGGTTCAAATTTCTAAACCAAAGTCTACATCCACTACCTTAGCATCCACACTAAGGATTTCTCAAATCCGTTAGATTTGCAAACCTTTAAGGATAAGACATAACCTTACAAACACTTCAAGGTTTATACCCAAAACCTTGAATACACACTCTCTTAAAGAGTAATTACAAATTTAGCAAACAAAAGAAAAAAACCTCACAAAGGCAAATGTGTTTGCACAAATTAAACACTCACAAAAAATCACACTTAGCAAATTTAGCAGTGTGGCTCAAGAGTGTGTTACAAAGAATTTGACAATTTTTGTTCTAAAACTCTATTGATGTTGGTTTGATCTTGCAATTGACTTTCTTGTTATTCTCCATTTGAATCTTGGTCCCTTTTATGTAAAAGAATTTGACAATTTTTGCTCTAAAACTCTATTGATGTTGCTTTGATCTTGCAATTGACTTTCTTGTTATTCTCCATTTGAATCTTGGTCCCTTTTATGTCTTCTAACATCAATCTAGCCGTTTGGAGCCTTTGAGGATTGATTAGAGCCGTTGGAATAATTAATTTTGAGCATTTAATGTTCACCTGCACATTTGGTATCGATACCAGGATGTTGGCATCGAGACCGAGCATCCTAACAGTCAAGTTTATAGCCGTTGAACCTATGGTATTTTTACTGTGTGAATCGATACTTTACCACCGATCTTGATATTAGGACCATGGTCTCGAGACTATAAAGCCTTCTGGGATTTTGGTTTCGAGACTGGCATACTGGTCTCGAGACTGACATATTGGTCTCGAGACTGGGAGAGGTTTTGGTTAAAATAAAAGTGTTTTGAGCTTTAAAACAATACTATAATTTGTGAAATTTCAAGAACACGTATGATTATTTTTCACACTTAAAAACACTTTAAAATAATTTATGACAAATTATTTACAAAATTGTGAAATGCAATTTTTAACAAAAATCATTTAAAAATTCATGTTATATCAAAAATAAAAAGTTGGTTCAACACAAATAAATACAATCAAAAAGAAAAAAAAAATAAAGAACACCAAAATTTACGTAGAAAATCCAAAAGGAAAAAACTACGGGCATAAGAGAAGAATTTCACTAATATAAAGAAATAAAATATAAGAGGATTTTGGTTAAAGAAAAAAAAACTTAATCTCTAACCCTTTACTCCTACTATCTATTTATAGGGATATAAACTTGTTTACAAAAGAAAACTAAATAAAGTATAAATTTACTTTAATAAAGTTACTTATTTTTAATCAAACTAGGATTCTTACTTTTTCAAATTTAAATATTAATTAATTTGTGTCACTTTGAATTCAAGTCAAACTCTAATAAATATCCACCTTGATGTGAATTCTGAAAGTACGAAGGTTTCGAGACAATACACTCAAATTCGATGAGGCACCCAAACTCAACAAAAAAACAATTCTTCACTTCATCGAACATATTCTCCACCTCTTCCACAACACCCTTAAAGAGTTTTGAAGTTCTGAAGGAATTTGTTGATGCAGATTTCATTAGCGATTTTAGAGACATACAAGATAAATTTACTATAATGAGTTTTCAATTGCAGTGACAATTATTTCAGTGTTACTTTAATGTATATTGAGTAAGAATTGAAGTTGTTGAAGATTTTGACAGCGATGCTTCAATGGATATACGACTTACATAAAGATTGAAATTGTTGAAGATTTGAATACCAATTTTTGATGGAATTTAAGTAAGTGGAGAGATTTGTTATATTTTGACCTAAATTATAATTGATAATTGAGTTAGATTTTATTGTAATTATACTGATTGAATATTTCTTGGTAATTGACTTTATTTAATAAAATAAATATTTATTTTAGATAAGAATTATTATTCCTTCTTGGTGATTAAGTATTTGACTCTATAAATAAAGATTATGTTTAAAAATGGAGAAATATAATCATTTTGAGATCTCTGCAACTTTTGAGATTTATGTTGCAAAGATAATTTTATAGGGATATTAGAAGAATATTTGGGATATATCGAGTTTTGATATTTATACTTAGTTAATTAATTGTCGCTCCTCGAATTTACCAATATAGTTAATTAATTCCCTATAAATCATCAGCTGCCTGTATTGACTATTGAATTCAATAAATTTCTAGCTTTTATTTTCTTGAAAACATCAAATCAGCTACGAAAATTGAAAAAGAAGAAGAACAAATTATGATTATGTACAAACATTTACATTAAAACACCTCAGCGACCTATATGAAGAACTGAATCTGTACTGGACAAGGAATTCAGAGAAAGACCCTTTCCTACTGATGAAGAAAACGAAAATACACTATCAGATGCTAAGTTATTTGCTGTGGATATGTTAATTTCTGTATTTTGAGGTACGATTTCAAGGATAGAAGATGATATGTTTTGGGGTATACTATCCAGTGGTATAACAGGCAACGTAGCATCTCCTTCGAGATACTGAACCACTTGTTTAATGGTGGGTCTCAAATCTGATTTGGTGTTGGAACAAAGCATGCCTAGTTTCACAACTCTCTCCATCTCCTCCACCACGTAATTGCCGTGTAACCTTGGATCAACAGCATCAACAATGGCGTCTCTTTTAAAGGACCTATTGACTACATCAACTAGAAAAAGGTCTTCCGGTGGCTTATTAGGATCAAATGGCTTCCTCCCGCAAGCCACCTCTAGCATAAATGCCCCGAAAGAAAACACATCGGCTGCTTTAGTAGCCCTTCCGATTCGGGTGAGTTCGGGATCCATATATCCTAAAGTTCCTACTAGACGAGTTGTTTGCGGATCACCATTGCGATCATACAATCTGGCAAGACCGAAATCTCCAAGCCGACCGTTTAGATCGGAATCTAAAAGAACATTACTGGCTTTTATGTCTCGATGAAGAACAACTTGTTCCCCTTCTTCATGGAGATAAAGAAGAGCCGATGCCACCCCTTTGATGATTTGAAACCTCTGAAACCAATTAAGGGTCGGTTTGTGAACGCTGAAAAGGAACTTGTCTAGGCTGCCATTTTTCATATGCTCATAGACCAAAAGGAGCTCTTTCTTACGCCTGCAGTAGCCGAGAAGCGGCACCAATTTCTTATGCCTTAGCTTTCCCATGCTAACAATCTCTGACACAAACTCCTTCATCCCTTGATTTGATTCATGTGATACTTTCTTCACTGCAATTCCTTCATTTGTATAAGGAAGTGTACCTTTATAAACTTTCCCGAAACCTCCGAATCCAAGAAGTTGCTTGTCTTTGAAGCCTTTGGTTGCTATATACAGTGTCTTGTAGGAGAACCTATGAGGTCCATATTCCTTTTCCCAATCTTCATGCACTTCCTCATATTTTTTCCTCCTGTAAACATACGTTGCTCCAATGATTACTAACAGCAACAAAACAGCCGCGATGATTGAAATCAATCGAACCGTATTGCTTCGTCCACCATTTTTGGGAAGCTTCGGCATCTCGGACACCTCAAGGCTTTGTGCTTCTCCACTTCTGTTGAAGCTCCATCCCAGAATATAATGGCTACTGCTGGTGCTTTGAATTGAACCCGTTGCAGCAGAGAAACCAACATACATGGTATCCATTAGGATATCAGAAAGATCGATTGATGTCGACAAGAGAGGCGGGTTCGGTTTCGGGACGTTGTCTGGTGCCAAAGTTACATTGAGTAGTTGTTGATGGCCATTGTAGTCTATCCACACCTGAATAGGATGTCCACTTTTGAGGTTCAAGCTTATATTCCTCCTTTCTTCATTGGAAAAATATCGTGCTGTAACTTGCTTGTTCGATTTCACGCCATTCAAATCGATTCCTACATGATTGTCATCTATATCACCCATGTCAATGCTGTTGATGGTATCAAACTCGACCGCAAAGAAGTGGTTGGAGGAATTCCCATTGGTTGACTCATCAACCAGTCCTAGATATTGGATTGGAGCAGCATGGCTGAAATCCGTAGATTGGGAGATGACAAAGGCAATGCCATGGCCAGTAGCATCTCGTGGACCAGGGACGATGGCAAGCACGAAGTTGGTGGAGAAGGAAAGAGATGGAAGTGAAGTTGAAGAAGAAGAAGAAGTGTTGAAGTTTATAGGAGAAGGGTAGAAAGCATGGCCAATTTGCATTACAGAAGAAGTGGTTAGCCGCAATAGACCATTGGAGCGGATTTCGGCACTCCCATCACGATGGAGATTAGCATGTCGGAAGCCATGATTATAAATGAAATGGTGAGGCTGTTGAGCCATGGCCAAGGAAACCAGAGCCAGGCATGAAAACAGCCACAAACGAAACGATATGAAAGCAGCAACCATCGTTCCAAGAATGAATGCTGAACCTTTATGACATGGTTACCTTTTTATTTATTTCCGTGGGGCAACAACGGGAAGCAATGTCTAAATAATCATTTTGTCTTCGGCATCGAGTGATTTAATAAGAACAATATTATAGAAATACCCAAAACACAATGTGAAAATCATGCACATCATGCATACGCCAGACGTCATCTTCATCTAAAACACCGGGTCAAACTGGCCATATACTTTTAAAATTTCAGAGTTATTGAATTTTATAAGATTCTCTCTCTTTTTTTTTTTTTAAAGAAAGTCAGCTGATTATTAAATTTTCTCTCTCTAAAAGTTTTTCTTTGGTGGTTGGGAAAAATATGATAAACTACGTCATCTAACTATTCATGTGATTATATATTGGTCCCACAACTATTTTTTAAATCATATATAGTAGTATATTTTAGTTTCATTTTGATCATCGGTCGTAAAAAAATTAACTGAATTACTAACGTGACAATGTTTTTCAATGATGATGACATTATCTTATGATTACACATCAACATCATCGTTAAGTTTTTAACAGTGAGTAACCAAAATAGAACTAAAACGTAACGATATATATGATTTTGAAAAAAATAGTTGAGTAACCAAAACAGAACCATACAAATAACGGAGTGACTAGGTACATAGTTGTTAGCCTTTGTTCAAGTAGTGGTCATTTATATTTTATTATAACTCTAATAATTTTTTTATATATTTAAATTTTTATATTATTTTTTATGGAAGAGTTTACATAAGATAAGATTATCATTTCTTTAATATTCACGTAATTTTATTAGAAAAAAAATATTAATAATCTGTCAAACAAATATGTCTTGCCAACTTTTAGTCCAACAATTTGCAAGTAGCATTTTCATACAATTTCCTCAAGCGCGTGACCATCGTTGCCGTGACTATCGAAAGTTTCCACCAATCCGCGTATGGGGAACTTACATTTTCGCTTTAATTTATATAGACAAAATAACTCGTGATGTTGACTATGGGGTAATGAAGTTTTTGGGTACTCGCATATTTAGTAGGTATTTGGTTGAATATAGTAGAAATTATAATTTGCCTTAGCAAAATTATATGATGTTTGAAGGGTATCGATGAATACTACTAACGATAAATATCATTAATTTAATTAATAAAATTTTAAAATTATAAAATACTCAATATGTAATTATAAATTAATTAAACATCTTAATGTAAATTATTTAAAATAAAAATATTAATTATATATTTATAAGGTAAACTATGCATTTAATATTTAAAATTTCACTTTTAATACGTTTCAGTACCTGAACTTTCATTTTTTTATAAAATTATACATAACATTTAATTTTTGTTTCATTTTGATATCTGTCATTAAAAATTTAACGACATGATGTGGCATAATATGATAATTTTTATTATTTTTAAATTGTCACGTCAACAATTAAATAATATTTTTATTATTTTTATTCAGACAATAGAGTGATGACACGTGTCACCTCTTATTGAAATAATTGTGCTTAGAGTGAGAATTTAACCCACACCCTCTTGGAGGAAAAGAAAAGGCTTGGCCACTAGGTTAAGCAAGGTACTTTTTACTTATTCACCACAAAATATATTTAATTTACACTCTATTACCATCACAAAACAATATATTTTAATTAAAATTAAGACTCAAACTCGGGACTTCTCCCCCAAGAAAAAATAGTGTACAAATCATTAAACTAGTCTATAAAATTAATTATATAATATCAATTTTATATTTAATTTATATAATTATTTAATCAAAGACCAAATTATTTAAAAATATAAAACATTTTTAATATAAACTATATAAAATATTATATCATTAAAATAAACGCTATTTTTGAACGTAAATAGCTAAACATATAATTTGCCCTAAACTTTAAACAGTACACGATTGTACTCTTCTTTTATTAATTTGGGGTAAGTACAAGATAATATATGTTCAAAGATAACTTCTCAACCATTTGACATTAAACGCTCACACCCCTGACATTCCTAGTGCTTAAACTTGAACCTCAAAGAATAACAATTCATTTACCACTTACATTGAGAGACACACATATATATATATATATATCCAACCATTTTCTTTTACTTTTTATAAAAATATTTAAAGCTCTTATGATTTTTTAATTCTCAAACTTTTAAATAATTTAATTTTAAAAAGTCGTCTCTTTTAGCCGTTAAAATTTTAATTTAACTTTAATTAATTAATAGAAAAAATGAAGAAAATGTTATTAAACCAAATTTTATTTTATCAATCCTTATTAAGAAAATGTTGAAGAGTGGACTAGTAGCTTGCATGCCATTAATTGGCTTCTTTACACTTTTCTTATGACAATAAATACTTGGAGGAGATGTTTTGCAACCTTGATTGGGAAATGCAAATGGATATTCATAAATTTACCCATATTCATAAATTTACGGATAGCATCAACGGCCTTTGTTTACACGCTTTTTATAGGTCAACAAATGGTAAACATATATATTAGGTCCCTAAATCATATAGATTGTAACAATCCAGTCCATCTATTATTAAACAAATCAATTTAGTTTCTTCATTACGAGACTGGCTCAAATCCCCCCCCCCTCTATCATCAATTTAGGCCCTGGTATATCTAAAAAGAATAAAATAAGACCAACTTTTTATAGATTTAACATTATTGTTTAAAAATTGATATTAAAATTATTCCATTCATAATTAAACTTTTAAAAAAGGTTTTATTCGTATAACCATAAAAATTATAAAAAAAATATTAACTATATGAAACAGTAAATGTTAACTCTACAAGAAATGCCCTTATTTTTTTTACTAATACAAGAATTAAATTGATCAATCTAATATTATAGGGATTAATTTGAACCAATCTTTGGAATAAGAAGAATAATTTGAACCGACCTCTATAATAAGAAGAATAATTTGAGTTCTTATTTGGTTGGTCAAAACCTTATTAGATTAAGTCAAATAGTGGATAAAATGATCATTATACATGGTAAATTGATTAATCATGTGATTTTTAATTAGAGAAAATTAATTAATCTTAAACTCTACACATATCTATTAAAATCAGTTGTAAAAAATGGAAGAAAAGGAACAAATTATAACTATGTATAACATTTCCCATTACAACACCTCAGTGACCTATGTGAAGAACAGAATCCGTACTCCGCGAGGAATTCAGAGAAAGACCCTTCCCTATAGATGAAGAAAACGAAATTACACTATCAGATGTTATGCTATTTTCAAGGATAGAAGATGGTATGCTTTGGGCTCTACTGTCAACTGGTACGTCTGGCAAACTAACATTGCCTTCCAGATACTGCACCACTTCTACAATGGTGGGTCTCAAATCTGGTTCGGTGTTGGAACAAAGCAGCCCCAGTTTCAAAACTCTCTCCATCTCCTCCACCACGTGATGGCCTTGTAATCTTGGATCAACAGCATCAACAATGGCTCCTCTTATGAAACACTTCTTGACTAAATCAACTAGAGAAATCTCTCCGGGTGGTGCATGATGATCAAATGGCTTCCTCCCGCAAGCCACCTCTAGCAGAAAAGCCCCCAAAGCAAACACATCGGCAGCTTTAGTAGCCCTTCCGGTTCGGGTGAGTTCGGGATCCATATACCCTAAAGTTCCTACTAGACGAGTCGTTTGCGGAACACTGTCGTGATCGTATAATCTGGCCAGACCGAAATCACCGAGCCGTCCATTTAGATTGGAATCTAATAGAACATTGCTGGATTTGATGTCTCGATGAAGAACAACTTGTTCCCCTTCTTCATGGAGATAAAGAAGAGCCGATGCCACCCCTCTGATGATTTGAAACCTTTGAAACCAATTAAGGGTCGATTTCTCGTCGCTGAAAAGGAACTTGTCGAGGCTACCATTCTCCATACATTCATAGACCAAAAGGAGCTCTTTCTTACGTCTGCAGTACCCCAGAAGCCGCACCAAATTCTTATGCCTTAGCCTTCCCATGCTGACAATCTCTGACACAAACTCCTTCATCCCTTGATCTGATTCATGGGATACTTTCTTCACTGCAATTTGTTCATTGAAATAAGGAAGTGTACCTTTATAAACTTTCCCGAAACCTCCGGATCCCAGAAGTTGCTTGTCTTTGAAACCTTCGGTTGCTATATACAGTGTCTTGTAGGGGAATCTATGAGGTCCATATTCATTTTCCCAATCTTCATTTAATTCCTCATATTTCTTCCTCCTGTAAACATATGCTGCTCCCATAATTACTAACAGCAACAAAACAGCCGCAATGATTGAAATCAATATAACCGTATTTCTTCGTCCACCATTTTTGGGAAGCTTTGGGAGGTCCGATATCTCAAGGCTCTGTGCTTCTCCACTTCTGTTGAAGCTCCATCCCAGAATATAATGGCTACAGCTTCCAATTGAACCTGTTGAAGCAGAGAAACCAACATACATGGTATCCAATAGGATAACTGAGAGATTGATTGATGTGGACAAGAGAGGCTGGTTTGGTTTCAGACTATTCTCTGGTGCCAAAGTTACATTGAGTAGTTGTTGTTGGCCATCGTAGTCTATCCACACCTGTATAGGATGTCCATTTTTGAGGTCCAAGCTTATATTCTTCCCTTCTTCATTGGAAAAATAAGCTGATGAAATGGACTGATTGGATTTAACGCCATTCAGATCGATTCCTACATGATTGCCATCTATAGTATCTGTGCCAAGACTGAAGATAGTATCAAACTCGACCGCAAAGAAGTGGTTAGAGGAATTCCCGTTGGTAGACTGATGAACCAGTCCTAGATATTGTACTGCATCGGCATGGGTGAAATCCGTTGATTCTGCTATGACAAAGGCAGCGCCATGACCGCTAGCATCTTCCGATTCAGGAACAATAGCGAATACGAAGTTTGTGGAGAAGGAAAGAGATTGAGGCGAAGTGGAAGAAGCGTTGAAGTTTATAGGGGAAGGGTAGAAAGCATGGGCGATCAGCAGTCTTGAAGTGTTGGTGAGCTGCAATAGACCGTTGGAGAGGATTTTGGCACTCCCATCAACATGGAGATTAGCGTTACGGAAGCCTTGATTATAAATGAATTGGTGTGCATGTTGAGCCTTGGACATGGAAACCAGAGCCAGGCATGAAAGCAGCCATAAACCAACCCATGTAAATGCAGCAGCCATTATTAAAATTGAAAAGCCTCCTCGGTTGTCAAATAAAAAAAAAAGATTCAAGAGGCTATATTCATTTCTATTTGCAAAAATTCTCAACAATTTATCAAACAAACGATGACGTTTAGAAACTTCTAAAGGAAGAATTCCAACAATGGGCAGTTAACATTTTCATGCAACTTGGCTGTCACATGTTCGATTTTCAACACATTGTCATCGTTATAAAAGTAGCATCGACTTGGCCTGCCTGCCACATTACCTTTGAAAGTTTCCACAAATCCGCCGATGGAAATTTTACGACTTTCACTTAATTTTTTTTTTTATATTTTTAATGATCTTATATATAACCTAACACAAATTTTTGATATGATATTTCTTTAATATATAAATATATATATATATATATATATTAACAATTTATTTAAACATTTTAAAAAATAAACAAAATATTTAAATATTTGAAAGGGCCTAATTATAATGTTTAAATATTTAAATATAGACCCACTACCAAACAGGCCTCCCTAATTATAATGAATCCATGCTAATTATTAGAACACATAAAAAAGTTCAAAAGACAAAGGGTGGAAGAAAAGAAAGGAGAATCAAATGAGAATTAGTCGTCACGTGTAGTTTAAATTTTGTTTTAGTCATTAAACAGTATTTTTTTAAGGGAAAAAAACACAAGTTTGAGCTTAGTAGGTAGGCAGACATCCAATAATTTCTATGGAGTAGCCATCAAGATATTGATAAATTCATCCATTGTTTACAAATTCTTCTAAGCCAACTCATTTGGGAACATTGCGGTCTAATTTCGTTTAAATAAAATTTGACCTCACTGTCTTGTGAATTCAAATAGAAAAAGAATTGAATTACTGAAATAGGATATTCTTAATTTTACTAATTTTATTTGAAAATTTATGAGTTGATTACATTTATTTATTCTAATGGAAATAGAATTTAATTATATTTAATTTCGTTCTTTCACCACTCAAGACTTTGATATCTTCTACTAGGGTGTTCGAAAGATGAATATTTAAAATGACATGTGCATCATAGCAGAGTGAAGAAGAGATGATAAACCTTCAGCACAGATGAGGAACATATAGAGACTCAGAGGATCTCCATGGCGAAGACCCCTGGACGACTCAAAGACCTTACCAATGTGGCCATTAATTACCACCGAGTACGTGACTGATTGGATACAATCCATCATCCAATCAATCCAAATTGAGTTAAAACCCGTTCTCATCATGACATCCTCAAAAAATCTCATTCGACTCGATCATATGATTTACTCATGTTCAACTTGAGAGCGAATGAACCCTTTCTGTTAGTGCGTTTGTTTTTAAGGGAATGTAAAACTTTATGATGTAATCTTAAATTAGTCTCCCCGGGACAAATGCACTATGAGCCTCGTCAATGCATAAAGGCAAAACCTGCTACAAACGATTAGCTAGCATCTTCGAAATAATTTTATAAATCGCGTTACACAAGCTAATTGGGCGAAATTGCCTCATGTTCGAAAGGTTGGACACTTTAGGAATTAATACAATGTGGGTTCGATTTACCTCGCTCAAAGGCTGAATTCTAGAAAGAACTTGCAGAGAATAATATGAAACATCTTCCCCCACAATGTGCCAAAATTTCTGATAAAACACTACTCCCAACCAGTCTTCCCTGGAGGCTTTCATCGGTGCCATGGACTTCAGCGTCATCAAAACTTCTTTCTTTTCAAACGATCTGGTGAGATTAGTGTTTGTCTCTTCTGAAATTGACGAATGAATTCCTGCAAGAATTTCCAACGTAGAAGCCATCTCTTGAGAAGTGAACATATTTGCAAAACAATCCACTGCCACTCAGTTGATTTCAGTTTGATCATCATGATAAGAGCCATCAGCATCTCTGAGGCCCGAAATTTTGTTTCTTCATCTTCTGCTGGATGTCGTTTTGAGGAAAAATGCAGTGTTTCTATCACCGTGTTTCAACCAATTAGTTCAAGCCCTTCGCTCCCAATAGAGCTCCTCACGATCAACCTTCATATTGAGTGCAAGTTGTTGATAATGCTCATTGAATATTGGAAAATTAGGTAATGCCCATATTGGAAAATTAGGTAGGTATTTCCACTAGTATCGGAAATTACCATTTTGCCCTCACTATTTAGCATATAAATAGTGAGCAATTTCATTCATTTTAATCATCCCAAGCAAACATTTGCTTTGAAATACTCCTATCTTTTGAGTGTTGTTTGAGTTAAGAGAAGAGCAATACCACCAAGTTCACTCCAGTTTTCGGGTGTATGAATTCTTGGAGAGCCGTGTTAACCTCGGGGGAACGGTCCGCCTATTGCAGCGATTACACACATCGGGGCGAATTCGTTTCTAAGGCAGTGATTTTTACCACGACACGGTTATCATTCTGATTGATTATTTTATTTAATATTTTTCAGTCAGTGCTAACGCCTCGTTTTGCAGCAGTTATTTTTCCAACAATTTAGAAACGAATTTTACTGCTGTTGAAAGAATATTTGTCATGTTTGATCATTGATACAAGGAGTTCAGGTTTGATCTATCTTGTTACTGGAAGCTAAATTGTTTATATGTTTTACATGGCTACAAAATTGCGTAATTGGTATTGTTCGACTAATTTTGAATGATCGCATGTTTAATAAAAACAAACGGTTTTTCCTCTAAACCATTTCAACTAAAAGCTTTAAATCTTTGCAAATAGCTTTTGAAAAAATTATTAGAATATTTCTAAACATTTGTGAGGAATGCAACGTGGAATAATGCATGATTGGAAATAATTGTTAAGTATTATTTAATAGCTATACAAGTTTTTGGGTAATAAAACGTTTACTGTAAAGTAAATGTACGTATGGGTAAGAGAATATCGTTCGATTCCTTGATAGTAGGAGGAAGCATAAAAATGTTTATTTATTCAAAGGAAAAATATTTTATCATTAAATATTTTATAATAGAACCGTTTTATTTATAGCTTTTAATGATTTTTATAATGGCCATGAAAACATTGGTTTTAATATGGTTTATTGAATTGAAGAACAATTTTTAATGGTTAGATTAATCAAAGATTAATAACCATTTATAATTGTAAAAGATCAAATGGTTATGGAAAATATTTATTAAAAGCTCATAAATATTTTGGGATATGTTATTCAAAACATTGGAACGGTCGAATGACAAAAGTTTTAATTTGTATGTATGATAGTTGATATGTGGAGAAGATTAACTATTTATTTTCATATGAGGTAAGATTATTTAGTTTCAGAATATTAAGTTGAAAAATAAATATCTACTATTTTATCATACTAATAATTTCCTTTGAGAAATTTATAAAGACAACAGGATGATTGCAATTTTAGAGAATCATAAAGATGATGATGTTGAACGAGAAGATTCTTCAAACCGAATAGTTGTTAAATTCGGGTTTGATTTTCACAATCTACTGAAGATAGGGAACCAAAATCTTAAAGATATGGATCTTATTACTATCAGTAAATTATTTTTATTACTATTAGTAAAATATTATTGTGACTAACCATGCATATTCTTCATTTGACTTCAGGAGATTTAAAAGAGATGATGGTTCAGATGAAGAGATTGTCACGATGGATTTTGGGTTCATGCTGATTAAAAATGATGATGCAAAGGCTGAAGTAGCATTCATGGTGAGGATGAATAAGTCTATTTGGAAATTATGACATTACCTGCGAGGTCAGATTATTTAGACTTGTTATTTGTTAATTCATGTTCTTTTAAATACATGAATTAGATTGCATGAGCCTTTAAGATAGTCTTTAAAACTTATCAATTAGGGGTGGTGTAACACCCCCAACCCGTATCCGACCCGGATACGAGTCCGAAGTGACACATTGACTTTTTAAACATTTATTCGTATAAAATAGTGGGTAATTTAAAAACTTTGATAACATTTAAATTATTTCCAAACGTTTACGACAGATATCAGAGTTCATACCATTTATATCTTTAGACTACATGCCAACTACACTCTGTAAACAGTACATACATTTTCTGATCTGACATTTGGTAAGGAAAACTGACCTGTCTTGCTCCGCATTACTCTTTACTCTTCTCGAAACCTACGTGTGAAACAATCACACGCTAAGTCGAAGACTTAGTGAGGCATAACGACTTATAATGCACTTCATAACATATATCAATACATGCATGTTCTGTTCTATCATGTTATACCAATTTCATGCATTCTTCGTATCATATAAGATCATATCAGATTAATTACAGTAAATACATACAGACACATAATTCATCATTAACAGTTTATCATGTAATCACATACTCTTATTGTTAACAATTTTCAATCAAACACTATACACACACAACATCATATGATTCACGTAACACATTTCAAACCACTTATAAACCCATCGTATACATATCACATTCAGTATGCTTGTTTAATCACTTTATTAGCCCATGTACACTAATGAGAACTTAAGGTATGTGAGTACATTGAGGTTGTGCACACATATGCTGTCACCACAGCTCGATCAATGTCCCGAAGGACCAGTCCATAGATTCCGAAGAACCTAGGTAATCAGTCCATATGTCCCGAAGGACATAGGTAAACAGTCCATATGTTCCGAAGAACATAGGTAAACAGTCCATATGTTCCGAAGAACATAGGTAAACAGTCCATATGTTCCGAAGAACATAGGTAAACCCTCGACCCTTGGCATGCCAACTATACCCCTAGCTCTCATATCACATAACATGGGCATTATCATTTATAACAGTTCACATTACTTATTCATATTCTTTCTCTTATAACCACATATCTTTTCTTTTCAGTCACGTATCACATGTATGTGTAATCATTGATCTCATAACATATACTTGTTTTCACATATATATTTCATATCATTTCACATATACACTTTCATATCACAGGCCATATAAGCTCATATCTTTCTCATGCAGTCACATAGTTCAATTTCACATATGTTCATATATATA